GTTCTACAGTAAATGCATCAATCAACAATACATGTATTCACACAGATGAAGATTGCTTTTGGCAACACATCTGGTTCTGAGGGCCGGCATACTACAGAGACAGCTAGATAGTTCTGTAATGATTTCCAGTGCTGGAGATTCAGACTCACAAAGTATGAGCCTTAAATGGATTACAGTTTGAAAATAAAAAAGAGCCACGCTTATGATTCTAAGCATGGTGGAAATGCTTCCTAGGCATTTGTGGTGGAAAGCAGGTCCTAAATTGTGGAAGGTTCGACTTGTCTGGACTTTTTTCCAGCAGATTTGTTAATCTCACCATTCTAGAACCACTCCTGGTTTCTGTATTATGATAGTCTAAAACAAATTTGATCCACGTGTACAAATTCCTATGGAGTAAAAACAAAGTAAACCCCAGAGAGTATTTCACACTGAAGTTTTAAAAAAGGACACCGGATTGCAATCACAAATTAAAATGTAATTCATTTATGGAGAACAGAAAATTATCCAAACTCTGGGCTCGTTTCGATAAAGCTGCTGTATGCAACCTACACAGGTTTTAAAATGGTGTTGGCCTAAAAAAACTCTCTTTGCAATAAAATCACACTGATATTCTTTCTGGACCTCTAAATGCAGCTGCCATAACTTTCTGGAATAATCAGCTGATAATAAATCACCTTCAATTTTCTACATTTACTTTCAATTGGTTCCTATTGCCTTTACAAGATGCTCTGTACATACTGCATATGCTTCCCCCCTGAGAGAGGGGAGAGGGAGTGGGTGGATGTGCAGGCTGTGTCACATATTGTAGCAGGACCAGCTGAGCTTCAGTCTTAGTTTGAGAGAGAAACTTCGCACTTCCTACTGCACTATGACAGATACTCTGGGATCAGAGAAACATTCTTCCCTAAATTCAGAAATCTAATCCCAGAGTTCCTACACCTGCCAGAATCACAACGGGTCTCAAGCCAACTGGGAGAGGGAGGAGGGAACTGGCAGCTCAGTGTGTGATCTCCTGTCACAGCCTGAGGAACAGTGAGTCTGTCTCCCAATAATGCTCCATCTGTCTACAGTATATGTGAATATTTTATAATATGTCTTTATTGTAAATGTCTGTAATATGTCTGTAGATTTTCTTTACTTTAATGTTTTGTTTTGTTTCATGTGAATTTCATTATTTTTATTTGCATTGGCAACACTGATTGTACCCATCGGTCATGCTAATAAGCACCTTGAATTGAATTGAAATTGAGAAAGAGAGACAGGGTGTGGTTTTGTGTTGCATAAAGAGAGGGGGAAGGGGGAAGGGGGAAGGGGGGAGGGGGGTTGAGAGTGATGTCATTCACAGTGCTGGCCAGTGCCTTCTCTCTCTCACAAACACAGACAGGGAGGAGGCTGCAGATAGGAGCAGGGACAACACTCAGCATCCCTCTCTCCAGAAAGGAAACAGGCGCAAACAACAACAGCTATAAGCCCCAACAAAGGTAAGGCACGGAGCATTTTGTACAATATAAGATTACATGCAAATAGTAGATGGGTTCTACGCTTTGGAATTGAGTACTGTTATTGTTATTGCTAGATTTAATAGAATCTCCTAGGAAATTGAGAATAAGAACTGAATTTCATGTCCCACGGCTTAAACAGCTTTGTTTTTAACATAGGATTTTGCCCTACAGGTATATACGGTACAGTATATGGAGGATCATATGTGTTTTGTTATATATTATGTGGTAAACTATAGTATGTTTAGTGTGAGATCTTACAAAAACAGATAACGGCCCTGTTGAGCAGCATACTGTATAAGGAAGCATGTGATCTGTGTTGATGTTTTAATTCAGTACCCTGATGGTTTCTCCTTATTTGTCACACGATTCACAACGTCAGTGTAGAAATCAGAAATTTGTGATCAGAGGGCTGGACTTGTAACTGGATCGTTGTGGGTTTAAATGCTATGTAGTGCACTACAGGTGTACCCATGAGCAAATTTTTTAGTTACATTATTCCGGTAAAATTCTTTCTTATATAAATAAAGCACAAGATCCTTCCGGAGTTTCTCCTCCTTCTTAATAATAATAATAATAATTGATTCTTGACACTTATAGAGCGCTTTTCGGGAACACTCCACTCAAAGTGTTTTTAAGGAATTACGGACTCCCTTCCACCATCACCATTGTGTAGCACCAACAGGATGATGTGACGGCAGCCATAGTCCGCTAAAACGCTCACCACACAGCAGCTCTCAGTAGGAAGGAGAACAGAGTGATGAAGCCAGTTCAGAGATGGGCATTATTAGGAGGCCCTGATTGTTAAAGGTCAGGGGGACATTTGGCCAGAATGCAGGGGTAACACCTCCACTCCTTTAGAAAAACACCTTGGGATTTTTAATGACCACAAAGAGTCAGGACCTAAGTTACACATCTCATCCAAAGAAAGGCGCCTTTTTACCTTTATAGCATCAGTGGGCTGCCTGTTGTGAGCTGCAGAGCGATACAGCTGCTGGCTGTATCTTGAAACGATGCTGGCTGGGTTGACTGGCATCTCTAAATTCTTTTTGTCCCGTGTTGGAAAGGTGTCGCATTCTGGGAGATCTTACCTGTATTCCTGCTTTGTGTTGCCCCAACTATTACTAGAAATTAGTTTCTTTTGATGATTTATCAGAAATTTATGGACAGATGACTTATAAAGTTAAGTCTGTTCAGACCACTGAATCTTTGCTCCATCATTAGAGCCCAAATCTAGAGATCGTAGTTACCTTAGTAAACTAAAAGTTAATTCCTGTCCTCTTCCCATCTTTATTCCCTGGTACTGCGACTCAGGAGAATCATTTTCGTTAAGAAGTTTTCCCTTTTTTGATACGGTTTCCATTTTGGTGTGAGAGAGAATTGTTTTCCTTTTTTCTTTTTCAGCGCTGACGCTCCAGGCTTTATTTCGACTGGGAACCCCCTATTTTTTCTTTGGACCAACCTCATAACATCTGCCTGCATCCAAATAGTTTATGCAATAAAGTTTATAGGAG